CCCCAAAACCCCAAAACCCCAAAACCCCTTAATTCGAATTTAGATAAATATTTGCAATTAAATTATAGAAGATATAATAAAAATGGGTTTAGTTTGCTGCACTTAAAGAGAAAAGCCCGATTAGAAGGCTGAGATTATTTATGCTGCATAAAGAATTAATAACAAAAACTAACCTATAACTCCAAGTAATCAACTGTTATAATCAATTATATTAGAGGACTAGAGCATTGCAATTCCAAACTAGTAGCCTCAATCAATCATAACTCCTCAAGAACCTCTGTAATAGAAGATTAGAATTGAAACTCAAAATATAATCAATGACATTAAGTTGTTTTATAAAACAAGTATGTATATAATTCAATTAAATTTTTAGATTAGAACTCTAACATCGTTACAGTGAGTCTTAATTAAACGGAGTTATAAGCACTTTTAGAGGATCTATTTTTAATTGTTACTTCAATTGAAGATCTAAATAAGGTGTCTCTAATTCCTGTTTCTATGTCTAGTAGTCATTTTTCAATGGAACATGACGAATTTCTAATTGTAATGAGGAGTTCAGATGAATTGGTTGATTCTGACCCTAAACTGAATAACATAATCAGTAAGATTCCTAGTACCAAAGACCGACTTTCTCGCTACCAATTTAAACAATTCAAGACTAAATCAAAAGATACTGATGTTTAAACTGAATGCCAGTCCATCCTAGATTACATAAAGTATTTTCTAATAACATGGCTTTACTAAGTTATATAGGGACCAGTACAAGACTTAAAATTTATTTCTTATGGGCGTTGCTTCATCTCATGACTATCTTAACCTATTGTTCTACAGGTTTGACTAAGGAACTTTGCCTATGCAGGATTATTTATTATTCATTGAATCCCACGATCTTAGCAACTAGAGTTCATCCCAATTGGAACTTTAGCTTGACGAGCAAAGATCTTATAATTAGAAAATTCTACTTTGTTCATTTACACTTGAGATAGACGGAATCAACAACTTAGTGATGATATTTTACTAGTCAGAGCAATTCATTAAGTATCATGTTTTCAACATAGACCAAGAATAAATTTAAAAGCAGCAATCAATTGAGCTTCTGAGGCAGAAGACTTCCTGGGTTGAGTACTATCACATGAAAAACGAACTCATTCACAAATTCACAGCTTAAGTAGACGCTGACGAAAAATATCATCAGGCATCCCTTAAGAATGTAGTATTTAGTGACTTGTAATCTTCAATGGCTATCTACTGCGAAATGAATTATAACTAATGAGAGAAATCCTTTAATGGTAAATAAAGATAATAAAATTGTTGCACCTCAAAATAAAAAAATCTATTTGGAATTTACTCAATTTAAGTTTAATTTAGTAGGTTATTATTTTGTAAATTTACTTTTATGGGGTTTTGGGGTTTTGGGGTTTTGGGG